AGGTCATGGAAAACTTTCAACATGCCCACTATCTTCCTACAAGCCTTTCAATCATCAATATTAGGCGGCCCACCATTAACATTATCATTATGATCTTTATTAAATTCACTCCTATATAAAGGATCAATTTGCTCATATCTTTTAAAAGCTCTCTCAAACTTTTGAGCCACATGTAAAATCAAATATGTTAAATTCTACCTAGTTGTGATATCTAGTTATAATAAACCCTTAGAATCAATCTTTTCAAGTTCAATGCATTCCTTAAATTTTGACAACCTAGTTAGAGATTGTCTCACATATCTAACAGACTCACATATCTAACAACTGATCGAATACAAATGATAGAAGGATTAAAATATTTTAACCCATCAGCAACAACAAAGATTCAAAGTATGTGCCATACACCTCATACGAAGAAATTCCTCATCTAAGATGTTATACGTCCAATTCTTAATAAAATATTTCAAGTATCTAATTGCCACATCATTCAAACTTGCATTATCAACCATAATAGTAAAAACCTTTTCAATTTCTCAATCAATCAAGCATTTCTCAATGGCAATGCCTAAATCTATTCCCTTATGACTATCAATCGGACAAAAACTCAAGATCTTCTTATGCAACTTTCAATTATTATCAATGAAATGAGTAGTTAAACACATATAATTGATTTATTGGGAAGATGTCCATGTGTCCATTGTGAGATAAACTCTTGCATAATTTTGTTTGAAAAATTGCTTCAACTTTAATTTTTCATCTAAATAAAGTTGTTAGCAATCTCTTGAAACCGTAAATCGTGATAGGATTTTGAATCTACGTTTTGTAATGGACACATACTCCTTGAACTCCAAACGCTCCACAAACTTAAATGAAAGTTCATCTACAATGATCATGTAAATTAAAGCATTTCTAATAGCAATTTGATCAAACTTCCATGTGCTAAGATTGCTATCTCTTTCTACATTTGGATGAATGTTTAATTGAGTTTGTGTAATGTCACAATTATGAGGGTGTTTTTTGCATATGAACATATGAGACTTAAGTGCAATTGTGCCATTTCTTGTAGGATGACAAGCAAGTACCTTATTACAATAGTTGCACTTAGCCTTGATGCCTTTATTCTCATCTTCAAACTTTGTGAAATGCTCCGACGTAATTGATCTCAGCTCAATTGCTTTTCTCTTCGTTTTTGTGCCGACTTGTGTGCTAGTTGGAGCTATACTTGCTTCCACTCCTGTTGGTTCTAGATTGCTTGAACCAACAATTTCAACATTAATAACTTGAGGTTACGAACTCTACATAAAGTTATTTTATTGATTTTTATGAATAAACCACCATAGGCATTCAATGATAAAGAAAACAATAAGTCAATAACAAATAACAAGGAATTAACTCTCATTAAGTATATCAAAATGTCTCAAACAAAAACTATGCTCTTAATAATAAAGAAAACAATATAAATGTAAATGTAAATGGTAAAGTCCTAAGACTATGCAACTATCTCATAACACGAGTAATGACTAATGTCCGAAATATAATAGCCACTGCAAGAAAACATCTCTTATCAAGTATCCTTTTTGAAATTAGAAAATTATAAATTCTTTTTTCAAACAAATTTATCATAAAATTTAATACTCTTATGGATTTATATGTATTTACTATGCCATCAATGAGTTTTTACAATAATGTTTTAGTTCGGTTAGCTATTTGATTACCACTCTTAGATGATTACTATAAATTTATCTTTCAATATTTCAAATCCCAGTTCACGTGAACATGTATGATTTATTTTGTTGCCTCCTTAATAATTTACATTTTGTAATATTTTGAAACATGGTACATGTGTAGCAAGGAAGGTAACTAGCTACATGATTCTTTGTAAGCATAATTTAATTACTAACCACCCGCATATATATATATATATATAAGTGATCATGAGGCACTTATATATAGATTAACTTCGAACGGAATCAACATAACTTTTTCATTTTTTTTTAATCAAGAGAGTTTTCACTTTTTAGTCACAAAAACAACATAATTAACCTTCTTATTTTTTAACTTGAAAAATGGAGGACATACGGTACTAATTCATTTTATGTATAATAGCAAGTCAAAATTCTTTTCCAACTCCTTGGAAGATAATGATTCTTCTCGATGGGAAAAATCCAAATATTTATCCACGACTAATTAAGCTTATTTCATGTGTAACATACCTAAAATGTAATCCATATTTACATTGTAATAAACTTGCTTATAAGTTATATACTGTTTAGGATAGTCAACGAGATATTTTCAAATAATAATTCCAATCAAGTGTCATCCCAATCAAGATAGAAAATCCTTATAATTGAAACAATAATTTCATGTCAAATTAAAAAAATAATTTTCAAACACAAACACTTAAACATAGATTATATATTCATGATCCCAACAATTACAATTTACAAGTAACTACTAATTACATGTCTACACTAAGCATATATTACTACTAGTTCGATATTATTATTTGGAAGAAAAGAAACAAAAATGAGAAACAATGGGACAAAAAAGCCTTTTGTAGATTTAATATCCATTATCCTCTTCTAATTTCTAAACACAAATAGAGAAAAAACCCAAAGGAACTATCAACATTGGAATCCTGCTCATATATCTTAGAAGACTCGGGATCAGGCCAACTGATCTTATAAGAATCTCTATTTTCTCTCTCTTTCTTTCTTTCTTGAATAAACGAGCAGCAACAAGCCAATAAGGGTTGTCTTGCCTACAATCTATAAAGATGGCTAGGCGGGTTGGTTATTTGGAGAGTGGAGTCCGCATGAGGCCAAGACTAGGAGAGGGTGGGGTGTGGTGGGCGACCGGTTGTGATGATGAGCTCTGCATCTAAATGCACGCATCCGGGACTCCAGGTGAAAGGGTGAGGTCGTGAGGGTGAGTGAATGACTAGATCTATGAACTGTAGGGTGTGGGTCGGTGGCTAGTCGGTTGGCTGGGTATGTGCGGTGTGATAGTGTGACTATGAGTGTGGTTTGAGGTCCGTGATGTGGTGGAGACTAGAAACTGCGGAGGTTGAGAAGGCGAGAATGCGAGATTACCAGATTAAGGAATGGGGAACATGGGAAGTGAATGAATGAAAGTCAAAACTAGGGATTAATTAAAGGAAGTGGGAATTTTTTTTTTTTTTTTGGAGACTAGAGAGTTGAGATGAGAGGCTATAGTGTTAGGGACTTAGGGTTTTTTCATTTTTGTTGCGTGTTGGTCTGTTGCCATGTTAGGCTCGTTGGTTGTTGCTATTGGAGTTGGGCAATTAGGCTGGATGGTTGGCTTGGGGCTTAGGCAATTCATTAGGCTTTTTAAATTTTAAGTTTGAAAATTTACTTATATATTAAAAAAAAACTTTGATTTTCGGTTTAAATTGATATACAAAATTTAAAATTGAACCGAACATCAAAATATTTTCGGTTTGATTCGGTTCGGTTATTCGATTTTTATCGAATTTTGCTCACCCCTAAAATAGGATGTGGGAAATATATATTTTTTTCTATAAAATAAGAAGCGGATTCGGAGATGTCTCTTTAAAAAAAAAATTGTAATTATAATATAATAAATAATACACAAAGAAAAAGTATATTAATTCTATAAATATTTAATTTTACGATAATTTGATATGTGGTTAAATATAAATTATTAAAATTAAAATTTTCACAAATTATTTTTTAATTTTTTAATTTTCTATATTTTTTATGTTTAGAAAAAAAAATTTCTTGAATTTGAAACATTCTAGAATTTTTCTATAAATTGAATTAGATTTTTTCCATCATGTGTCCAAAAAATTATTCAAATGATTAATAATTGAATTTTTTAAAATGATATCTGAAACTTATAAGATAAACTAAATCTTAACAAATAAATTTTAAAAAATTAAATCCAAAATTAAAATTAAAATTTTTAAATAAATTAAAGTTTAGAGAAAGTTTGGCCATTTAGCTTAACAGATTAGGGTTCTGTTTACCAGCAAGAAGAGAATTTGAACCTGAAACAACCCACTTGCTACACTAAGCAGGCCAGGCCTCATTCTCAAGGCTGAAAGGTGGAAAAGTAGCGGAAGAGAAACACTGTAGTTGATCATTATACAAGGCAGATTAGAGTTGAAAGTGACTGACATGGTTTCTTTTCTTTTCCTTTTCGGTTTGTATAAATACCTGAATGGGCAGGTTAAAGTTGATAAGTGGTAGTCATGGTTTTCAAAGTTGCCGGCTGGTTTTTATTCTTAATCGATAAGCTTGATTCCAAGTTCTAACGAAAGACACAACCCACCATGTTTGGCTAAGGTGTTTTTCTTATTATTTTCTCAGTTAATCCCTGATCATCATCGTACATTTCGCAATACTAATTAAGAATTTTTTTTGGGCTTGAGATAGCACGATTAAAAGTTTGATACTTGATTGTGTGCTGTATAATGTTGTTGAAATTTTTCCAAGTTCAATCTTTCATCGTTTTCTTTGTTTGGGGTTTGTTGTTACTCTTGTTACTCGTTGATTTTATGCGTTTGGGTCTACTAGATATTATGGTCTAATCTTTGAAGCTAAATACTGCTCTTTCATCAATGTGATAAAAGAGGAAAAGGTTTTATATTCCTTTTGTGTGCTGTGTGGGATTGACATAAGATTGCTCTTTATTACTAGCATTTAAGCTTTCATTAAGACCCAAAAGTCTTAATCTTGCCATTGAAAATGCTAATTCTATCTTTTTGGCTGTTTGGGTACTGGTCTCACTTGGCTTTGCTAAAAATGCAAACTTTTGAAAGGTGCCAGTAGCTGTCCCGTCAAGTCCGTAAGCTATTATTATGCTCATTTAGACATTAACAGGGTTCTTCAGTAGTTGGGTTAAACTTGATACAAACTAAGTAGCCATTGATGAATGTTACCCTGCCCAATTGACTGCTAAACATCTGAGCTTTTCTGTTTATCTCTGCTGCCAAGAATTTATAAAGCAAAGCGAAAATGTCTGATTTTTTGCCTGAAGAGTTGATACAAGAGATCCTATACAAACTCCCCATAAAATCCCTCGTGCAATGCACAAGATTGTGCAAGTCCTGGAACTCCCTCATAAAGAGCCGCAACTTTATTTCCAAGCATCTTCATCGTACCATTTCATCAACTGATCATCAATCTCTTTTCCTACTTCGACTCTGTTCAAAGCAGAGAGAAGAGCAGTACTCTCTCCGTTTTGATGACCAAGATTTCAATGAGCACATGCAACTTCATTTCCCATTCAAGAGCTGTGAATCATATTATCGTATCATTGGTTCTTGCAACGGCTTGATTTGCCTGGCAAATATTTTCAAAACGCATACAATATCCTTCATTCTTTGGAACCCATTGGTACGAAAATATGTGAATGTCAAACCTAGAATCCTGGGCCCCATATAATCCTTTATTGGGTTCGGCTGTGATTCCCATGCTAATGACTACAAGTTGGAAAGGATGGTCAATTTTCAAAAGTCACAGTTTCTCAGCAAGAATGCTCAGAAATGGAGCTTTACTCTCTAAATGAGGGTTCGTGGAGAAGTATCACACAGATAACGCCATCGAGGTATGACACTGATCAACGTTTTTCACAGGCTTTTCTGAAGAGTTGATACCCTCATGTTTGTCCCGTTGGTATATAAATAATCATCCTTTTCTGTATGTCAGGCAAACTTCCAATCTTCTGTTCGGTTCCATATATGGGTGATGAAGGAGTATGGTGTGATGGACTCATGGACCAAATTGATGTTGGCTATTGGTGCACAAGGGAAAGGTATTCCCAGAGCATTGGGAATTAGGAAGGAGGACTTTTTAATGGAAATGAAGCGCGGCTGGATAGTTTCAGGTGACCTGGAAAGCCAGCAAGTTAGGGATCTTAGAATTTGGGGAGAACCATCCCATACCTTCATTGGTTCCTATTTGGAGAGCCTAGTGTTACTCGACAAAAGTAATGCAACAAGTTATGGAATAAATTCAAATGGTTTGATTGCATAAAAATGATCGAAGTGATTCATGTGAAGCTATCTCTCCCAATAAGAATCAAGCCAGAGGAACTATAAGGCAAGTGCTTTTGAGAATTGGTTTTGCAGTTTCCTATTCTGTTTCTGCATTTATTTTTACTTCAATTTGCACCACATATGTACGTTATAGATCAGTCTTATGTACTGAAATTCAATTGCTTGTAGTTGGTATCTTTTGCCTCTAAAGTTTCTATGGTTTTATAGTGTTAATTTCTATTTTTGGCTTCTTCCCTTTTGGCTGGATGTCTAATTCATGGAGTGATGGTTTCAGGAATCTTATTAGGATTTGTTTAGCATGTAATATGTTCTCAAGCTTAACATAGATTTATATGATTAGTACTTCACTCTTTGTTACAAGTTAAAACTACTACTCAGACATTCCAGAGGACTGTTCTTGTGCTTTACAAGACAATTCATTTTCTGCTTGTTGTGTGATCTTACTGAGGTGCTTTCTTTTTGTTCGTAAAGACTGCTCTTCCATAGGTACTTGAAATCAATGGTTATTAAGTTCATATCACAAATAAATGTTGGTTATTAAGACAATTTGTTTTCTTTTTGATTGTGAAGAGTGCTCTTTTTCTGTTTTAAGTTTCCTATTTTGTTATCTGGGTATATTGTTTCTTGACTTTGGGCCACATATATAAATTTTAGTTCACTGTTATATACTGAAATTCAGTTACTGTTGGTATTTCTTGCCTCAAAGATGTTTGTATGCATTATAGTGTTATTTTCTTTTTGCGGTTTCATAATCTTTTTAGGATTTGTTTAGGTTGTAAGATGTTTCTTGGACTAGTAGCATCTGAAATTAGCATGCTTTAATGTAGATTTATATCATCCAAAATTGACTCTGTCGCAAGAAAGAACTACTAATCAGACATTCCTGATGACTTTTCTTGTTCTGTACTAGACAATTCCGTTTCTGCTTGATTGGTGATCAAGCTGTAAGAGTTTTCTTTCTGTTTGTGAATAGTAGTCTTCTGTATGTGCTTGAATCAATGGTAATTAAAGTCTTGTGTCAATTTAGTGCTGGTTAAGACATGAGAATTATTTTTGTTATTTACTTGTTCTCTTCTGCAAGTTACTTTTTTAGGTTTTAAAAATCTGGTTTGCTGTTTAAGTACATAGTTTTGTGCATGAAATGATTCTTTTTTCATTGGAGGTGAAACTAAAAATCAAAATAGAAGACAAGAAATGGAAACTAAAGAACAGAAATGAGTGTTAAATTCTTTTAGGTAAATATGGAAAGAACAATTCTGAATTTTTCATTGTAAATGTAAAAGTGCGTGTCATGCTGACGTGCTCTCCTGTATTGCCATTACGAATGTGATGTAAACATCAAGATTACTAGATGCCATGATATTCTGTGTTGGTATCCCTTATAATAGGTTGAGGTTAAGAAGTTATTATGGGTTAAAAAGTAAAGGAATCCATTTATTGTGTAAATCAATTTTGTTAAAAACATATCTATCAGAAGTGATGAAGTGAATAAATGATTATCAAATCAATTTAAGCAGTTTTAGAAAGTTCAAATCTGGATTACTAGTGAATATAAAAATGGATATCTCCTGCGCTGTACTCTTCCATCATCTAGCCAAGAACTTGGATTTTGTATCAGAGTACGTAGATATTCTGTGTTGGTATTTCCTAGAATGGGTTAAAGTCAGAAAACTGGGGGTTAAAAGAAGAGTAATTTCTTTTAGGCTCCTGAAATTTAATGCCATTAGACTTTAGTCATTATATTGGAGCAGGGATATATCACAGAGGGTCTGAGATTTCGTGGGATTATAAAATGCCAGGAATTATTGTGTTAATATTAGAACATAAGGACGAAGGTTCACCAGCACTAAAACATTAGGTCTTTGAAAATAAATTCTGAAAAGGAAGTAAAGCCCCTAGACTTTTTGGTGACAAACCTGAAAAAAATCTCTTTTACGGTGCTATGTAATCGCTTTTGTTCCCTATAAATATATTTGAATGATTTGCCATTTAGCACCCTGAATCCTGAGTCAAGCAACTAACAGAACCCACCATAGTTGCTCTGTACCAAACCAGGCCTGCTGTCTCTCAGGTATTTTTCTTAATCCATGTAGCACTCCTGTTTTTGTCAATAACCATATTACTTTATATTCCTGTCCTTGCCTTTTTGAGTATAAACAAACCAAGTAATTTTGTTATTTGCAATAACCAACAATCAGATTCGGATGTTTTTGGCCAGAAAATAAAAAATAGTCAAAACTGGGTATTTTTGAAACTCAATTTTGTGCTATATAGAATGGTTTTGAAATTTTATTGCTTTTTTTTTTTTTTCCTTTGCATCATTCCATGCATTTTGTAATTTGACTTTTTTTAATATTTTAATGTCTTGAAGTGTTTTCCATCTAAGGATACTATTGTCTAATTCTGCTTACGTTGTTATTTGTTGATTTTATGTTCGGATCAAAGCTCTTGACATCTAATCTGCAAGTTGAAGCTAAATACTGCTCCTTCATAAGGGTCAAGTCTGCCTGATCTATTACTGTAATGTATGTTCTTCATGCCTTTGCATCAAATTGCTCTTTGTTACTAAAAATCTGCTAAGAACCTTAATATTAATTTTCGGTGAATGACATTTGATCTTTTTGGCTTATCAGGAATTGATTTCACTTGCTCTTGCTCCAAAATCTCACTTTTGGTAGGGACTATGAGTTTGTCACTTCAACAATGAGATCCTAAGTCATCATTAAAACTTTTGTGCTTGTGTCAAAAAAAAAAAAAAATCTCAAAACGAAAAGAAAATGTCTGGTTATTTGCCTGAAGAAGTGATGCAAGAGATCCTCCTCAGACTCCCCACACGAACCTTGTTAAAATGCACAAGTGTGTGTAAGTCTTGGTACTCTCTCATAAAGAGCCGTGCTTTCATTGCCGATCACCGAGATCGATCTATTTTTTTAGCCAAACATGATCCTGTTTACCTTCTGCGCACTTTCTCAAGAGAGGGGAAGAGAAGTACTGTCTTCGCCTCAACAATTTCGATCTTGATTTGCACAAGCTACTTCATTTCCCGTTCTCGAGCCACAAATCACGTTTCGATGTGATTGGTTCTTGTAATGGCTTAATTTGCCTTGCAGAAGAAATCGCAAGGCACACATTGGCTTTCATCATTTGGAACCCGTTGATTAAAAAATATTCATATGTCGAACCAAGAATTCATGGCCCTACATACTCCTTTATTGGTTTTGGCTATGATCACCTCAGAGATGACTACAAGTTGATGAGGATGGCCAATTTTATTGGGTTGGATGCTTGCGAGAAGGATATTCCAAGGGTAGAACTTTACTTGCTTAATGAGGGTTCATGGAGGAGTATTGCACATGAAGCTGAAAGATATATGAGTTTTGAGATTCTTTCACCAGCTTTTGTCAATGGAGTTCTCCATTGGACAGCTTTTGAGATTCGAGATCAGGATGGTGGGGAGGAAAGTTCTGATACTTACAATTTTGTTTTAGGATTTGATATGATTGATGAAGCATTCTGCAAGATTTTGTTGCCTAGTAGTTTGGTTAATTTAATGCCAGTATTTTTGTCTGTTTTAGCATACAAAGAATCATCCATTGCGTTGTGTCAGACTAGTTTTAATTCTGAACTGATTCATGTTTGGGTGATGAAGGAGTATGGGGTGGTGGAATCATGGATCATGATTTCACTTATTATAACTCCACAAGTTGAGGATATACCTAGAGCATTGACATTCAGGAAGGAGGGACTTTTATTGGAACTAAATCATGGGTGGATATTTTCATGGGACCCGTCGAGACAGCTACTTGGTGACCTAGCTCTCTGGGGGGAACCAATGAAGACATTTGTTGGATCCTATGTGGAAAGCCTAGTACTACTTGACAGAGCAAATGCAACAAGTTATGGAAATGATTCAAATGCTCAAGAAGCAAGCGAGGCAGCCTCTGAGCTAAGTCGTATTTCACAGCTCTCAAAAAGGCGAAGGTTCCCTATCTAGAGTGATTGAACTGATGGAGCACGTTCACGTGGTGAATGCTTTTGCTTCTCTCTTTTTTCGTATTCTTGATACAGATTGTTCTCAGTGATCAATATTAGATATAAACTATAAGAAACCAGATCATACTACAGAGCTTCTTCTTTAGAAAATATTGACTTTTCGTTCTCAATGTTCTTCATCAATTCGACTATTTTACATGTTTGTATTGAATAGTTGCAACTTACTGAGCCATATTATTACAGTTTTTATCCAGATTTAGTCCTCGTAAGCGTCTAAGGTGTTTTTTTTTTTTTTAAAAAAAAAAGAAATTGGAGCTTTCTACTTTTTTGTATTGATTGAGTTCTACTCTTTATTTTGTTCTGCAAGGGTCTCTTCATCATAACACCACGCGTTCGTACACTCATACGACATTCTTTTATTAAAGTAACTCTTCCATTTCTGAATTATATAATTAAAGAAATAAGAAAATGAAAAATAAACAAGTTGTAAATTTATTTGCTTTAATTAATTAGATTCATCTAAGTAAGATTTTTCTTTGTTAATTTACTTTCTTTTAAATCATTTACTTTTCACCTTAAATGGATTTTTTTTTTTTTTAAATGTGGGTCATTTATAATTAACTAAGTACTTTAACAAAAATGTATCACGTAAGTATAAGAATTAACAATGTATTAACGAAGGGATTCATTTAATACAAAACGAAAAACTGAAAGATCACAAGGACTAAATCTAGGTAAAACCTTATTATTACGATTGATAAGTTCTTAACATCCGTTTTGGTTTTCATATAATTGAAAATAATCATAGTTTTGCCATTTGTACATGTTTCATAACTTAGAGAAGTGAAACAGAGAAATCATTTGGTATATCAAAAATTATACTTCTTCCCCTCACAAAAACATGGGATGCATAAATTATTTTTTCAAATTGAAAAATCCTATTAAACTACTAAAAGCTAAACAAATGCTTGTTAACACCTTTCACTACCATCAATATTTCCTCATCTGTTAGTACTTTCACTTTTCTTTAAAGAATTTGATGAATGTTGTTATATTTTCATTAGTAATTGTGGTTACAATATATACACAGTTGATGGAAATATTGTTCCACTAATTACAGTTATACAATAGAAAATTGAATCACAAATTTCCCACTAATTATGACTATATAATAGAAAACTGAATCAATCATATTTTGCAGTAATTACAGCTGTACAATAGAAAAATAAATCAATTAGATCAAAGAAAATTACATAGAGATTACAATTAGGATAAAGTCAACTCCTCATAAACAAAATATCCTGATTTTGTGCTCTATCATGCCCTCGCAAGCACAAGAGTTCGAGAAGAGTACTAAGCTTAGACCGATAACAATGAAACTGTTATCAAGCTAACAACTTAGTTAGAGAGTCAACAAGTTGACCCTTGGTGTGAAAATAAGAGATTCAAAGCAATTTATGAGCAACTTGATTACGCACAAAATGAAAGTCAATGGCAATGTGCTTCATTCATGAGTAAGAGAGAGGATTAGAGCACAAGTAATAGCTCTAATGTTGTCTTAGTAAGTTGTTAGGGAGGCTAAATAGAGACAACAAGTTCTAGTAAAAGATTAGTGACCCAGTTCATTTTAGCAGTAGTGGTAGCAATTGCTCAAAATTCGATCTCAATGGATGAACGAGCAACTATAGATTGTTTTTTTGAAATCCAACTAACAGGATTAGATCCAAGAACTAACTACTTTTGCTTCATGCATATCAATTTTTTGAAGAATATGCTGAATATATTTATATTGAGACAAAAAGAAACCATTTAAGGATTTGGTTCTATCTATACCAAAAAAATAGTTTAGCTTGCCGAGGTCTTTGAGTGAAACCAATTGCATAATTGTGTCGTGAAATCATGAATGGTGGGAGGGCGGTTTTCAACAAGAATAATATCATCCACATAAATAAGTAAATACACTGTGATGCCTAGAATTATAGATGAATTGAAACGTATCACTTTTAGAATTGATAAAATCATTAGCAATAAAAAAGAAAAAAAAAAAGAAACTAAGTTCACTATACCATGCCCAAGGAGCCTAGTGAAGACCATAAAATGCTTTGTGGAGTTAAAAAACATGATTCGGATATCGAGGGTCCACAAAGCCTTGGGGTTGCTGTATGGAAACATAATTAAAAATAATGTTTTGCAAGAATGCATTATTAATATCCAATTGATTCAAAATCTAATCATGAGTCACTACACTTATAAGTATAAGATGAATAGTGGCTGGTTTGGCAATCGGACTGAAGGTTTCAGTAAAATCAATGCCAGACTATTGATGAAACTCTTTAGCCACAAGACAAGCCTTATACCAAGAGATCAAGCTATTAGGGTTTCTCTTGATTCAGTAGACCCATCTACATCCAACAATATTTGGTATGGTAAGGGAAGATTAATGATCAAGTTTTATTATTTTGAAAGATGAAAAATCTTTTTTCATAGCATCACGCTAATGAGAGTATTTGCTAGCTTAAGTGAAGAAGGTGGGTTCATTTTGAGAAAAGGATGATGAATTTATTATATAAAGAGAAAAAATGGATTTTTAGTTTGTAAACGTTATTTTGAGCTCAAGTTTCCATACGAGATGGTTAAGCCAATTTTAGAAGAGAGGTAGAGCTAGGGTTGAGGGTTTGGACAAATTGGGTTGTGTTGTCACATGACATGAAACATGGTTTGTTAGGCTAGTCTGGTATTTTTTGAATAGAAAGGGATATCATTTACTTGTATTGGAGAATCTGTGGAGAGATTCTTTGGAAAAGAGTGGTCAGAAATCAACAAATCATAATATAGTTTGGCTTTATAAGAAAATATGTTCTCAAAGAAAACAACATGTTTGGAAATAAATCTATTATTTGATTATATATCAAAACAAATGAAAGAGTGATGAGAGATGAAAAACCCAAGATACATACATGGTCAGGGTCGTGGTTTAAGTTTATGGCTGTTGTATGGTCTAAGTTAGAAATAAAAAAGACATCCAAAGACTCGAAGGTAGGTATGTTTTGGGTTATGGCCAAACAATTTATGGTATGGTGTATCATTGTGAAAAAAAATATTTTGGAATATAGTTAATAAGGTAAATAGCATTTTGGAAGGCATGTGACCAAAAACGAAGAGGTATGTCTACATTATGAAAAAATGTGAGGTCAGTTTCTACTATACGACGATGGTTATGTTCAGTTGAGCCAACATGCTCTAGAGTGTAAGGTGGTGAGGTTAGATGTTAGATTCCATAACAAGCTAACAGTTAGGAGATAACAACATACTCACCACCACCATTTGTGTATATCATTTTGATGTAGGTATGGAAGAAGTTTTTAAGACTTATCAAGAATATTGAACACGATAGATTTCAATTTAAGAAGATAAAGCCAAGTATAATTTGTAAAATAGTCAATAAAAGTAACGTAATAATAAAAATAAAAAATAACAGAGGTAAGACCCCAAGCATTCAAATAAACAACTTGAAATTGTTTATCACAACTAATAGATGAGTTCCTAAAGGATAGTTTATAACTTTTGTTGTAAAGATAAAATTACACACTTCTTTGAGATCAAAAGATTCCAAAATTGAGATTTTATTGTTAGTAAGATTTTCTTTTGAATTCAAAGAGAGGGGTGATCGAGACATTGGTGCCATAGTTAGGATGAAAAATCAATTAAAGTGGAAGGAGTGAGATTGGATAAAGATGACCACTCATATAGGTTGTGCCTACTCCAACCTTTGGGCAAGGATGCCTCCATATTCAAATCCTTGACAAGAAAATGATTAGAAAAAATTCTATAGAAGTATTATTTTGTTTGTAAAATTATGAAATAGAAATAGGTTTTTCTTTATCATGGATGTACGCAAATATTATCCAATATGAATATTATAATAGGTGAGTTAATAGTAGAGGAACCAATATGAGAAATAGAGATTCCATTATATTGTTGACTACAACATCCTCATTTCCAACATAATTAGAGTGCATGGAGAGATTTTAGAGCTGCGAGGTAATGTGGTGAGTTCACTTAAATCAAGGACCCAATTGTTGTTGGTCCAAATTGAATCCCCTTCAACAAAGTTCATTTAAGGTCTAAAGTAATGTATAGATGATTGATAGGGGAGCGATAAGTTTTTGCATTATGGTTTGTTTGTCACATAATTGATAGACAATAGAGGGGCCACTTTGATTTCCTTAATAGGAGTTTGAGTTCCAAGAGGGTGAATGAGGTTAAAAATTGGAAGAGCTCATGCCTCATCTATAAGAGAACTCGTTGTATGTTGGATTGTGGATGATTGGTTTGTGATTGTTCACCATTAGAGTTGCTTTTCGAGCTGTGTATGGTGTTATTATATTTTCCATGATTTCTTCATCTACCATCGTGACTTTTATATTTTGATCGATTTTGAGTGAGTTTTGTAATGGCTTGTACTTCTTCTTCTTTTAATACTTCATGATTTTGAATCGACTTGCTCATCAAGTAGTTTATCATAAAGATCGTCAAATGAAATGTAAGTCTCATGAACACAAACTACGGTTGATAGTTCTTTGAACTCTTCACCTAAACGATTTAAAGTGTAAGACATGATTTAAGCTTCATTTAAGGGATGACCGAGTGAGTGCTAAATCATCCACATGACTTCTCACCCTACTTATGTAGATTATAGCTAATTTTTCTTCCTTTTCTTTGACATAAGAGATGACACAATAGAAAACATATGAATGTTAGAATGATTAGCATAACTAGCTTCCAATTTATTCCAAGCATTGACACATGTAGTATAGTAGTTGATTTTTAGGCTGATTTTGTTATGAATAGTATCTTGAATGTCGAGAAGCACAAGAAAATCCTAATGAGTCCAGAAAAGATAAGTAGGACGAGTATATGATGGACATAGTTGAGATGTATCAATAAATCTGAAAAGTCTATAATTGAAGAGTAGATTGGTCATTTAAAACTTCCAAGACG